GAACATTTTCAGCAAAAATAAAAATAAAAATAAAAAGAAAAAAGTTGAAAAAAGAATGTAAAATAAGAGTAAAAGGGTGTTATGTGTATTTTATTAATATTCAGTTGCGGTAAATTCAAAAGGTCAGTTTTCGAATTTTCTCCTAAATAGTTACGAGCGAATAATTCATTCTAATGAACCAGCCAACGCGTTATCCGCTTTGAAGAGAGCTCTCTAAGGACACTCCATTAAAATCAGTTATTCAGCTACGTAAAATCCGTATCTCCTTTATACAGTTCCCGGGGGGTGCCTGTCGCCAGCATGTAACGCGAGCAAATAAGACTGTGTTTTTAAAGCGCCTTAATACGCGCGCGTGACGCCATGTGCATTAATGCGGGGCAAGTCCGGCTATAAAGAGAGACCCTGAAGAACTTTAACCTTCCACCCTCGAGGGCTCTACGTTGGAGTACTTTATGGAGCACGTCGTATACGTTGAGTACGCGTATCACGCAGCTGAGCTCGGCTGAAGAAATCACGAGACCTTTGTACGAGAACGCTTTCAACGCATCTCCGTGTAGCTCTTTTTCTCCGTAAAGAAACTCCGATATTTAAGAAGATCTATCTATTTCACAATAGACTCCTATAATCGCGAGCTTTTCTTTATCTCTTTGGTCCATGTCGACAGCTTTGAAGATTTTATTGCTTTAAAGCTTTAATTTCACGTTCTCAGTAAGAGTGACACTGTAAAACATGAATTTATAAATTAATTTTTTATTTACTACGTCTACCTAGTAATTAACTAAGTAAAAAAATTTTAAACTTTTTTTCCCGTTATTAACGACAGTGACAGTAATTTACTTGAGACGTTCTGCGCGCGACTAACGAAGACTTGTACGTAACGCCAGTCACCGATTTAATTATACGAGACGAGTAGATTTAAAAAAAATTAAAGTTAAGGTCGAATAATTACGTGGCGGAGTACAGCCTTCTGCATCGCATGTCATATATATATATATATATATATATATATATATGTATGCGTGCGCGCGCGCGTGTGTATGTGTATGTGTGCGTGCCTTTTGTCGTGTTTGCAACGTAATTTTCTTCTTTATATTCATAGGGCGTAGCGTGACGCAAGTGAAGCGATAAACTTGCGGTTCATTTGGCTCGGAGGTTTTAAAACATCGCGCCCGAAGAGCTGTTACACGATTGCGAGATTCATTTGCATACGCGGCACGTAATCTGATTATCGGCTGACTAGGATGTCCGGGGGAATCAATATCAAAATGAATGTAATAATGACAACGAGCGCGAATCGCATGGCGGATAATGCAATAAACCCTTAAACGCCATTATGTCCCCGCATGTCGCGCAAATGGCACCGCGCGTTGTAAATTTTCATCCGGGAACTTTCATACATTTCACGCCACGCAAAGCGTAACAACATGATTACAGATGACGCGAGCGCGTTAAACTTTACCACCAATTAAACTTCTGTAATTTATCTTCGGTTCAGAAGAAAGTTCTTGGAGAAAAATCAACAAATGGGAAGGCTGAGAGAAGGGCCTGCAGAGGATTTCCGGAAGCCTCCTGAAGATCTCTTTCACGCTATGAAGTTATTTTGGCTCGATTAAAAGGCTCGATTCTATTTTGCCTCGCATTCTTATGTAGATGCATTCGTGTAAGAGAATTTGAACGTATTAATTCTCTAAGTATTAATTCTCTAAGTATTTCAAGTTTCACCAGCGCGTTATATTTTTGCTAATATTATTCCGCTTTTATATTAATAACAATTTTTCTTGCATAAATTAATGGCAAGTAATGCAAAATGCTTGTATATTTTTTATTTGCTTTCAATTTTGATAGTTTTCCCTTCTTTCCATTTCTTTTTTTAAATTAAAGTTTACAATGTCTTTTCTTATAACGTCAAAAGAGATTACAAGATTATATAAGATCATTTTAAAGTTTTGAGAATGTTGCGGTTTTTAATTACAGTTGAGTTTAATCATATTTCAATTATTCGTTAATTGTACACTATCTTATTAAGAATTATCCAACTTAGTGCATGCTGTGAAAATATTATGTATGTAAATGAAAATTATATTTAGTTTCTTTTTGTTATGGAAAATTGATAAAGCTATTTCTGAAAATTATATTTGATTTATGAATTATATATGAAAATTATATTTAATCCATTTTTTGTTACATGAAATTGTTGAGGATGTTTTTGCAAAAATTATATTTAATCTGTTTTTTTTTGTTACGGGAAATTGTAGGGGATATTTTTGGGAAATTATATTTAATCTTTTTTTTATATTACGGGAAATTATTGAGAATTTCTATTCTTATATCTTAGCGAACCATAAACCATAACTGTGTTTAGAAATGTTTTCTCCGATTGTTTCTTCGATCGTCTCCAATGGTAGTCACGCACGTCGCATCGACAAATGTAAATTGTGCCGTTTAGGTCGCGCATTCGCGACGAGACGCATTTCTGTTCCTCCGCAGCGTTATACTCGCGGCGATTCGGCACGGTGCATTAAGCCGGGTTCTCGTTTACCCGTAATTTACCAGCGATTCCTCGCAAACGATTATGGCTTTAGCGGGAAGGAGTTGGAGCCGGGCTTCCTCATCGTGGCGAGGCTGTAAAACCCCCACGTGCCGTAATCGTTTTCCCTCTTCCAACTTGTCCCCTTGTTCAACCCTTCTAACATCACAAGTTTCTATTCTTACGAAATATTTCAGAGAAACCGATTACGTGAGTGTATCGAGATTGATCTCCTTGAAAATATATATTGAAATTTGTCTTTTTCTCTCATTTTTCTTACTAAATTTAACATATTTTTACTTTGACAAATCGCGATACCTAAATTACAATTATTACTTACTTTGTTAAAGATTTAAATTTATATCGAATTCAGATCATTATGTAAGAAATCCCGCAAAGAGTACCTGTACGATATAACGATATCACTGTAATGTGTACACACTTGGTAAATATCGCGGTAAAATATACACAATAATTTTGGCGGCAATTAACAGATTTATTGCGGTAATACGTCGCTCACAAAAGGAGGAACTGTCGAGGGAGAAATGCGAGACGTACCGACGGCGTACTGAAAGGCGTAAATGAAAGAGCGCGGCGAAATGATCGCGGCCTATTCCCGACTTAAGAAAACACCGGAGACGCTATGCACACATAACACCTCCATTCACCTCGCGGGTTCCTGCCCGCTTCCGTTCGCCGTGACGGCCTCTCCGGCGGTGGTTAGTCGGCCTCTGTCGCGTTACCGCGAAATGCTATTAAGTTACCGTTATCTAGGTAATAAGGCCCGTCACGGTTTGGGGCGTGTATAATAGGGTACGCGTCACAAAGCGCGCATTATCGCGCCGTGATTCGACGTGCCGGCTAAATGCGGATTGCCAATAAGCGGTCGTCAGTAAATAGGCAATCTCTACGTCGTCGGTGAAGGTGTTCTTCTTCTCCGTTTTACGGTCTCCGACCGTTTTTCGCGAAAGGGCTTTAAATGTGTCTGGGACATTCTCCGTGTATCCGTCATGCATCCTTCGTGAAAAATTTTATTTCAAAATCACGATTTATCCTGTCGCTTTCGTTATTTTATCGAAATCATTATTTTCTTTTCTTTTCTTTTTTTTTTTTGTTAAAGATCATTTTTTTTTTTTTTTTTTTTTAGCTATCGTTCGTGCGATGATACTGTCGAAGAAAATGTTTCGGCTTTGATTATGATGTTACGTGTCGTGCGATCGTTTACATTCTACGGGAACTCTGCAAATTGTGCGGTTTCATGCTTACGACGAGCTAATCGCCTTCCCCACAAGGTGGGAAAATCATAAAAATTTCTGTAGGAAAGCCGAAAGTGACAAAAAAATATAGGGAGAAGCAAAAAATTTGTACAATTTATTTACTACGATAAATGCAAATGAAACAAGAAGTCAGTGCGATAAAAAATAATTTAAAGCGAAGAAGTATGAGCGTAATTATAGCTTTCGAATTTTAATGCGTCGGTTCTCTTTTTGAATGGATATTACATCCACCAAACGCCACTCTCCGAGAGAATATGTAATTATGTAAATATTATTTCATATTTTTCAAAGTCACACAGAGACAAATAATTATACGCTTACATCGTCACGGTGCGATTTTTGCGATCCGATTGATTTTAGTGAATTCAATATGTAAAGAGTCGACTACGTTGTTACAAATTATAACTGCACAATCGCACTTCTTAAATATTTCTTAATTCTTGTAAGAAGCAAGTTGTAAGTAATAGCGTTTTCGTGTGATGTTAATGAATAAATAGTCTCGTTCGATACAATTTCAATCGCCGCAACATAGGTCAGGCCCACGTTGATTTAGCGCGACCAGATAACCCATTATCTATCAAAGTAGCGAAGAGCTACTGGCCAAAGTACTCTCTACCAAAGTGACGTATTAATCTAATTAATCCTACGTGTCCGGATGACCAATTGCCGACACGAAGTGCGAAGTTCCCTGCAGTAATTAACGCTCCGGTACTTGGCCTTACGGTAAATCGATCAATTTTAGCGCAGTACTCCATGTATGTTTAACAATTTAGTCCCACCTTCCCTTAAATCTATCTATCTCGAGCGTCTCTTGTACTAGAATAAGGTAGGAGAAATTACTGACTAACGAGACAATAATATTCTAATGATAACATAAATGATTATTGCGATGCTGATGAAAGAATGATAAGTGTTAATTTAATAATCACCAGTCATAGTGGCCAATTATTAATTTTTCCATATTTTCTGAAAATTATCTCATCTGATGGAACAACTTAATTAAATGTGTCTAAATTAATTACTAGCTAGAGTTAATTGTTGCGCGCGCGCGCACACACACACACACACACACACACACACACACACACACGCACACGCACACGCACACACGAATGTTAACACGCACGTTACGAATATAAAAAATTGCCACTCTGTTAGGGAGGGGATTGTAAATAGCATTTTGTATCGTTTCTCAGCGACGTATCGATCTCGTCGAGCGTTCGCGAGTGGTTACGCTCGCCAGCCTTCGACGCGCGACAGTGGGAAGACGAGGAGCTGCTGCTGATGCTGCAGACGATGTTCGTCGAGCTCGACCTACCTCAAAAATTCAACATTCCCTTGCCGATCCTGAGGAATTTTCTCTATGAGGTCTACAATAACTACAACGAAGTGCCGTTTCACAATTTCAGGCACTGCTTCTGCGTCGCGCAAATGGTGAATATATACCTAACTCCTTCCTAACGCTTCAGTTTGCACGATTCTCCATAAGAGCAAATAAATGGTTATATATAACTTTATGGCAACGTATATTATAATTACACGATCATAATCATCGTGTTAATATGAGAGGAAATGTTGATATTAAAAGTATGATGAGCATTAATTATGTATTAATTAAACGGGGGGGATGCTAATAGTTTGTTGATTATACTTATCAGGATTAATTGACACACACTACATTGTTGTGCGATATAGTCCGGCACATATAACTGAATTACTTCCTAATCAATTGAAATACATACATGGCAATACGTCTCGTAGCCTTGTAGATCGAATCGAACTGTCGAGCTCAGTGATTTGCTAACCGATTGTATCCAGATGTACGCGATAGCTTGGGCGGTGGATCTCCCGTCGAAAATCGGCGATCTCGAGGTTCTCATATTGATCGTCTCCTGTATCTGCCACGATCTCGACCATCCGGGCTATAACAATATCTACCAGATAAACGCGCGGACCGAGCTGGCGCTGCGCTACAACGATATCTCGCCCCTGGAGAATCACCATTGCTCCGTGGCATTCCGGGTTCTGGAGGCGCCTGAGTGCAATATCCTCGCGTCTTTGGACAATTCTACGTACAGAATAGTGCGCGAGGGCATCATAAGGTGTATCCTGGCAACCGACATGGCCCGGCACAACGAGATCCTCGGCCAATTCACCGACATCACTCCCGAATTCGATTACACCAACAAGGCGCATATAAATCTGGTAATCTATCGGCGATTAATTAATTAATTAATGAGGTATTTAATGGAAGAGTTAATAAGAGAATCATCTTAATCATCTTAATTAACGCTTCATAGTTATCCATGATCCTGATCAAAGTGGCTGACATAAGCAACGAGGCACGACCGATGGAAGTTGCGGAACCGTGGCTGGATAGGTTGCTTCAAGAGTTCTTCAAGCAGAGCGACGCGGAGAAACTCGAGGGTCTTCCGGTCACGCCTTTCATGGATCGCGATAAAGTGACCAAGCCGTCCTCCCAGGTTAGCTTCATCGGCCTAGTCCTTCTTCCTCTCTTCGAAGCTCTCGGCGAACTTCTACCTGAGCTGCAGGTATTTTGCCTTCTAATCCATTCGTATCTGAGATAGTAATTAGAAATATGTAATTAGAAAAGATGTTAATATTTTCATATGCAACATCAATCTAAAAGAAATTCTGTTTTTCAGACTCTCATAGTTCAACCAGTCAGGGAAGCTCTGGAATATTATCGCAGGCTGAACGAGGCGGCTAAAGACGAGCGTCATCATCGGAAGAGTGTTGTGGACGTCGGAGAATCGGCTCCGTGCAACGCGTCAACCGGCGGTTACTCGTCTACCGTCGTTAAATCTATGTCGTCGCACAGCATGCGCTCCAAAAGGTCCGCCACGACAATCCACTCACGTTCACGTTCCACCGACGAAGATATCACAGAGAACCTGATGATGGAAGATGCGGAAAATGTCGAGAGCTCCGATCCGGAGACAGCCACGGAAGTGGAGATCAGCGAGAAGACACTCAAGTTTAAGATATCCACGGAGGGCACGCTGACCGGTTCGAACACCGGTCGGAAGAGTTACCCCGGCAGCCGAAAGGGTAGTCGAGAAAAGTCTTCATTGGATTATCATAATCATGATCTGGCCAAGGCTATTCGAGATCATGAGCGTGAGAGGAGACGCAGCAGGGGCGAGAATCTTGGCAGTGATCTGAGCTCGCCGGTAAGCGCGAGGTCTGCTGAGGGTACGCGCATTCTCGAAGAGATGGAGAAGGAAACGGTAGATGCCAAGATTGAGAATAAAACACCGGAGGGAAACGGCAATGTCGTCGCGGCGGAGGCCCGCTTGCAGCCGAAGAACAACGTGAAAAAAACCAGCAATGTTATAGAGAACGATCAGGAGAACAGATCCAGCCGCAGGGATGCGCACAGTAGTCGGGAATCGATCGGTCTGCGATGTTGCTGCGACGACAAAACTGGGCCGAATAACAAATCTCTACTCTCACGACTGAAGAACTTTACGGACCGCATCAGTATGAGCTTCGATTCCAAGGATTCGCCTAGTCCGAAACCGAAACACACGTCAAAGATGCTCAACAAGAGCAACTCGATTAGTAGCAGTTCTGCCACAACCTTTGCGAGACACAATAACTCTTTGTTTATATGCAAGCGCTGCAATCTTGTCAAGTCCTCGGTGGACGGCAAGGCGGCTATCGCGACTGTAGTGGAATTCTCTTCTGTTGACAAAAGGGCAATGACTTTACCAAAGGTTCGAAAGTCCGCAGACGGTAAGAGTAAGAGCTGGCGGACGGTATTTGCCAAGGAAAAAAGATCGTCTACTTCTTTGGAGGCCTTGCCAGCAGTCAGTTCTCGCTCGTTCTCCAAGCATCGTAGAAACTTATCGAATCCCGAGAGCAAATCGCAGAGTATGAAGGAAAAGACTCGACAAGCTTTGGACATTGAGTTTCAGGAGATTGATGTACGTCCAAAGAAACAGCAACATCCTGAAATTATAGTCAATCCCGACAATACTTGTTGCGAAATCGAAGAAGATCTCGGTAAGGTGGAGATCAGAAGAAGTTCGGCTAGCATGGAGGATATTTCTAAAATGGCGAAACAAGCAGCGGAGGCTGCAGTATTGGGTGCTTTGAATCCTAATAGGACGGAAGAACGTCCTCACGGTAGCTTAGATTCGATGCTTTGCAAGGAAGTGTCCAAGTCACGGAAGAAGCAATCTGTATTTTGCTCGCCTGCTACGACGAAGAAGTCGTCACCTGGACTATTCTCGCGATTTAAATCCGGTATGAGTATCGACAGCACTCGAAGCAACAGCAACAGCGATTCCTTGCACGATCACGGTTCGCAAAGTGGTTGGATATCCTCATTAACGGCCAGTTTCCGGCCGAAGAGACATCCGAATGAAACGCCGCTGTCGCCGCATCCACCGAGGTCGCCCAGCAGAGAGGAGATCAAGTGATACGTCCTTGTGGTCGAGGATTCCTCTGATAAGAAGCTTAGTCTCCGCGGCTGGTGGCCTGAGAACTTGTTCTGCTGCAACAGCTAAAACTCGAGCAAGAAAGTTCAATGTTTAAAGAGGCTAAATTAGAATCAAAATCCGAGCATACTTGCTAACATGTCTATAACGCGCGAAAAAAACTAATAAAATGATTTTTAAAAGATTTTTTAAGAGATTTAAATTTTCTAACGCAAGTATTATCTCACGTGCTATTAATTATCGGATTGATAATTGCGATGGATAATGCTCCAATTGAACGCGTCGATGATATTTAATAAATCTATTTTGCGAAATAAAATGTACCATAAATTCTCGCGAGTAATTCGCAACGATCAATATCGCAACGCATGCAATGTAATATACGAATTAAATATTTCTCCGTATAATATTAACGGTCAATTTGAATGAACATATTTTGCTCGAGTATTTATCAAGAGAATATTAGATACCTCATATAATTCTTGATCGAATTAAATTCTTCTTGCGGAGGGATCTTCAGACCATAATTTCGTGTTATTGATTCTGAGTGTTTTACGTCACGACGATCGAAGTCACAGAGATCGAGATACTTTATTTACGAGGGACATCTACGGCCTGTGGAATATAAAAGGAGATGTACACTATATATATATATGTAGACTATTTTATTTATTGTCCAATTAAAAAATAGCCTAACGAGTAATGATTAATATGTTGTCCGTTACTATA